CCAACTTCTCACGTAGCCATAGCGATAGGTTGAAGCGTTCACAAAAATCAATCAAACTCAACTTCGGATGAAGAGCAGCAGGCTGTGGGATGTTGGCAGCATGATCGGGTCCACGTTTGCCATGCAGGAGGCCCACAATATCCTTGAAGTCATTGTTGATGACAATACTTGGTGCGGAGGATTGGGTTTGGGTAACTGTATTGAGACGTCGACGTGAGAGAGTAGCAATATCAGTCGGGTCTGCGTATGTAACATCAAAAATCTTCGTGTTTGGCGGATTGTCTAAGTCGACACCTGGCTGCTTGTTCGGACCAACCTATTGTGTAATAACCCTGTTAGTGACACATGCAGATTACATACTTCAGAACATCACGCAGACCATCGCAGCAGCCCACGTGTTGAGATGTAATGGTGTCAGGTTGACGTGTTTGGCGTCTGGTGGAGCTGGCCAGCAGATACGGAAACCACATGCTCGGTCTTCGCAGGTATACTGACGAGTCAGATTTGCAATTGCCTCGTTTTGCTCTATCTCCTCGTCAGTTGGTCCTGTTGCAGCCTTCGCAACATGAGTGACAAGAAGACAATCGAAACACATATATCTCACCCTCTTACCCGCAGGTTCGGCTTCAGCTCTTCATCTTCTTCAGCTTCTTGCCATCATCATACTACCATGTATTTAGCTTACTGCAAATCACATACAAACACCCAAAATACATACCTTGGTCTCGATGATAGTCAATTTGAAGGCTGGTGACCGGTGTTCTTTGACTTCCTCCATGATTGTGTCGAAATCACTGAGGTTTGCGAGAACAATATTCTTATAGTTCATGCGAAGGATTGTGTACGTGATCGTGAAGTTGGTAGCCGAGAGAAGACCTGATCAATTCCCAATACCGTACATCATTTTCTCGGAGACGTCATAGTGTTCGAATGTTGTATCGAGAAGGTCGCGGAGGGTTGAATCTTCGTGGATGAAGAAGGCACGGTTTATGGGTGGTGATTTAGCATTCTTGCGGCGTTTTTCTCCAGTTGCTGGAGGTGGTAGAAGTGGGGTAAATGTCACGGAGACTGCGATACCCTTGCCATTGTTATATGCGCTCTCCAAAGGTTCTATAATGACAACATAAGGTCCCTGGTGTTCACTGTTCAGTACTGCGATAAAAACATACCATTTTCATTGAAACCATTGCCATGGACTCTAGCGTCGTCGCGAGTATCATCGTCGGACCCGAGTTGACTCATAGTCGCGCATATACTCAGTTGAATGTTGTTGTGTAACGCGCGTCGGGTACTACTTAGAGTACTACTCAGCCACACTCGTTTGAAACTTTTTTCTTTTTAGGTGAGTTTCATTATATTTGTAAATTGCAATAATAACCGGAATATTTAAGAAGGATTACAAATATTGACTTGTCAACCGTACCCTGCGAAGTTCCTTGTTCACTACGAACCTTCTGCGGAAGATCAAAACCCAAACGTTGCTCAGGAGTTTGGGCATCCATGAGGCGAGCGTCATCGATTCAAGAATAGTCATATTACGGAGTGTGTTGTTTGGCAAGTCACGATGTCCGATGAACGTGCACATATCTGACGAGCAGTGCGAAGCCAAGGCCTGGGAACCGGAGATTCATTCGTGCCCCACGACCCCATCGTACCGCACTAATCTCCCTTCGAGTACTTGCCACATCAGACGACGTTCACGGTTCATCTCGAGTTTGCGGAGGTTATCATGTATTCTGGCTCAACTATTTTTGCCTAAAGTAGGGTATCTGAGCAGCAAAGCGAGCCTCGCCTTTACGCTCACATTGGAAGTTTCAACCTACAAAACACCTGCCTGGTACTATGGCTTCGCCTCATTCCCTCCACAAGCTCCATCATGTTTACTTCCCGCTCCATCATGTTTGCGCTGCTCAGCTTCCTCGCTGGCGCCAATGCGTGTATACAGTGCTCAGCCACATTGAAGGTCGGCGACGGTGCCATGGTGAAACTATACGATACCATCCCACAACACCACCTCACAGTTTGCATGTGCGTCGCACTCACAAATCCTCATTGAGCAAAGCAACTGATATGCCAGCAGTTACGATGGCGAGAGTAGTGAGGGAACAGTATTCTGTCACTATCACACCGTAAGTGCTTTCTGGTTGTTATTCATTGTTCTGGGTTGACATGCTAGCGATTGCATCAGGATAACGGCAAGTTTGTAGATGGGTATGAGTCTTGTCCACATACAGCAACTGTGAAGGATCACTGCTCAACGTGATGTGAAGAGGTGGGAGAAACGAGACACCTAACTGTTAGGAGAATTGTCAAATAGTCTTGTCTCGCAGTTGCATCATTCAGTCCCCCTATTAAAATGGGTGATAATTAGTACTTCAATCATCCCGCAAATCAGCCTATCAATGGCATGGTAAACAGTGCTGTTTTTGATGCTCCTTTGAATCTCACAATACCTTATAGGCTTATACCTCACCATGTGGAATTAATGATGGACCCGAGAATCTTTGGACTGGGCTCGGGACACGTTCAAGTTGTTATGGAAAGCGAGCGATCAACTCAACGAGAGTGAAAGCCTCGCAACCACGTCACACCTTACTGCCAATGCCATCACCCATGCAGCTGCGATGCCACTCCATCTTAATCCGTGCCTTCCTCGACAATATAGCCCTCGTGTGCCTTTCCCAATGGCTCCAGCTTGTATCCCCACGGCTTTCAAAATTCGTCACTTCGCTTCAAATTAGTATATGGTGCAGCCAGTCCCCCGGAATCTGTCTGCTAGTGCTTAAGGCCCATCGAACGTCACGATCGCTATCTATCCTGCTCCTCTTGTCAAGTGGTCGAGCTACTACTCCGACACTTTACATTGTAACCTGTCCGAGTGGTCACATGACTCACATCGAGTACATCATTGCCCTGGTCACATTCTCATGAAACTGGAATGTATTTAGCCCGCGGTATCACTTTGGGCATCCATACAACTCCTGAGGTGCGCGTGCATCGGATGCACAATGCAGCCGAATGGCCTCGCGTCCCGCGTAAAGTGCTACCAATTCTGCAACCGAGGACTCTCCGGACTTTCCGCCTTTCAAGGCGCATTTTGTCCCGCGCTTTGTGGCGTTACCTTTTTTTCCAGCGCTCTGCTTGTCGCTCGATTCAGTCCGCAGTTTCGCTAACTCCTGGAACCATCTGTTACAAGCTCCATCGGGATTCTGCACCGTACAAGTAGCGGGTTCAATACGGTCGCTAATGATTTACATTCTACTAACCCTGGCGAGCTCTCACCGCAGCCGAAGCTATGCGAGCCCTGCGTTCAATTATTGACCGACTGTCACTACGATTGTTTTACCACACGGGTCACAACTATGATGGCCCGCGTTTTTATTGTCAGTAGCACAACGAAAATGAAATCAGCTTGATGGTCTACTGGCGTTGACTTTTGAAGCCTGTTACTGACGAAAACTATTGCACAGAGTTTCAATGTAGGCTCCATGTCTACTTTTTCAAAGACAGTGGTAGCTCAAAGTGTTCCTCGAAAACGTCAGGAACCCCGTCTTTATCTCCCTTGTGTCACGGCAATCCTGCGATTCGGGATGTCCATCTACGCTTCAAGAGACCGTGAAACCTGAAGTACATTGGACAACCTAGCCACCGCATCTTTGTTGCAGTTGCGACACTGATGTTTCTAAGGTATTCATGTCCCAAAACTCAAACGTTGCGCATGAGTTTTGGCATTTATGGGGTGGCCATGATGAGCTTCGTCGATTCAAGGATGGTCATATTACGGAGAGCGTTGTTTAAGAAGTCACAACGTCCGATGGGTGTGCACATATGTATCTGACGAGCAACGCGAAGCCAGGACCTCCCAGGAACCGGGGATTCATTCGTTCTTCACGACCCCATCGTCATGACGTTCATAGTTCCCCCCGAGTCTGCGGAGATGATCACGCATTCTGGCTCAACTTTTCTCGCCTGACGTAGGGCATCTCAGTAGCAAGCTAGCAACGCCTTTATGTTCGCACTGGAAGTTTCAGCCTATAAAACACCTGCCTACCCCTATGGCTTTGCATTCCCTTCCACAAACTCCATCATGTTTACTTCACACTTCATCATCTTTGCGCTGCTCAGCTTCCTCGCTGGTGCCAATGCGTGTGTACAGTGCCCAGCCACAGTGAAGGTCGATGGTAGTGTCATGAACCTATACTATACCTACCCAGTAAAGCAGCTCACATTGTGCACGTGCGTCACACCCACACGTCTTCATTGAACAAAGTAACTGACAGGCCGGTAGTTACAATCTCCAGATTAGTTATGGGGGCGAGACTAGCGATGACTCAGTAATGTCCTGTAATTATTACACCGTAAGTGCTTTCTGGATATTGTGCCCCTCATTGTTCTCGGTTGACGTGCTAGCGATGGCATTAGGAAAACGTGAAGTTTCCAGATGGGCATGAGTCTTGTCCGCGTACAGCAACTATGAAGGATCACTGCCGAACGTGATGTGAAGAGGTGGGGGTGACGAGACACCCACCAGGAGGAGCAATGCGCATCTGCAGATCGTCGGGTGTATGCCAGTACTTAGACACCATCTGTTATGAGAATTGCCAAATAGTCTTTTCTTGCCTCTGCCAGTTGCATCATGCCAACCCTCTATTAGAATACTCCCCAGGTGATGACAAGTACTTACAATCATCCCGGACATCAGCCTATCGATGCCATGGTAAACTTTTTGATACTCCTCCTTCAAAATACCTCACCATCCCACAGCGCGGAATTCACGACGGATCCGATAATCTTACGACTGGGCTCGGGTTGTCACCCCACTCGACAGCTCTCCTTCGTTAGCTAAACGCTTCCGTCCTATGAGAAACTGGGAAGATTAAAAGCAAAAATCTATACCCTTCGTTCAGCATTAAAATCGATGACAGGATCAACGCACCTGCGACGGCATTCCGGAGAAAGGGATAAGTATTCGCAGGATCTGAAAGGGGAGCTACTGGCAGTGCCTCTCGAGTCCATGTGGGAGTGCCGCAGTCGTGCAAGTAGATAGGTTTGCGGGCCGCGGAGTTGCCTTTTGTGGACACCTTGCATAGTCATGGGTTGAAACTCTACCATTTGGACATCCTAGTGTAACATTCTGCCTGCTCACGCGTACAACGCGATGGCTTCAGGTAGCCCAGATGACTCTGGTCGGCAAGCTATCCTTCCATGGACACCAGGCGATGCGTCTGAGACTGCAACCGAAGCTCTCCAAGCATTGGACACTTACAAGAAGAAGGATCCATCCAAAGGTCAGCATCGGTTCGATCAGCGCGTCTATATCTGCAACACACCTAGTATGCAGTGGTGGTTCGCTTCAAGGCAGTCGGTAATGCACCGATTATGAGGCAGAACTTCTATAAGATTACTGCCTCCAACCGTTTCCAGGCAGTCATACAGTTTTTGAGGAAAGAGCTGAGCTGGAAAGCCGGGGATCCACTGGTTAGGATTGATAGCCTTTCTCTGTGGTCGAGCTAACCTCGTCCTAGTTCACATATATCAACCTCGCATTTTCTCCCGCTCCAGACGATACAGTGTCTAATTTGTACAAGGTAACGTGCCTAGCTCTTGTCAGGGAACGTCTCCTGATTGCTGTTGAAGTCGTTCGCTACGGAAGGACATCTGATAGTCAACTACAGGTTAGTTTCTCGATATTTGCGTGCATGATGCGTTGATACGACTGTATACTTCAGCACGACGGCTGCATGGGGGTAACGCTCTTGCCGATGAGCGATGTCTTGTATTTTCTTTTGTTTTGCGCACAATTGTGTCACCACCCAACCATACACTCGCCACGGTTTAATACGAATTCTTCGTTTCGCTACTTCTCTTCGAGGGCCATGCACCAATCTTATCGAAGATTAGAATGACATACATCGTCGACATGCACGATAAATACTCTATTTATACTTTCCCCCTGCACATGCTTATCATTGTGCGCTACCATACTGGATGACGAAATTCTTTCTAGGACTAGGCTTCAATGGAATTTCCTCGCCTGTGGCAACAATCCCGTTGACCATGGTATCCTCTTCCTCGTCATCAAAGGCCATATCTTCATGTGCCCAGCGCAAGAGCATAGTCTCACCAACGCGAAAGCGATTTGGCTTCAGGTATGACCTGACCAGTCCCCGCAATCGGGCATACAACAACCTTGTTGCAACGATCAGGATAGAACTTGCGTGGATTGTTCAGTTCTGTGAATGGTCGGTAGCATTGACACTCACCTAGTCACAAGTAGGATAGTTGTTGGTGACCACGAGTTGCGATCTGGTGGTGGAATAAACTTCTGTTCGCCATCTTGTTCGTCGGTAGGATTCTCATCTGGGCTGCTGTTACCCGACTTCTCATCATTACCTTCGTTTTCATTTCCTTCGTCACTGCCCGTATCGACGTTACGACCCGTGCGCCCGTCTCCTGAGTGTTCGTTGTCCGTCTCGCTTGCGTCGCTCTCTCCATTCTTGAAAATGGTGCTGTTCTTATCGGTGTCCACATTCCTTTTCCGTTTGGTTTTGCCCCCGAGCAGCCCTTCCTCTTGCAGGAGTTCATATCGTTTCGGACGACCGTTATCTGAAGCTACTATCTTCCAAGACTCCACAAGCTCTTGATCACATGCATGAAGTGACTCCCATGTCAAGCGGCGAGCACAACCACTGACATGCACGAAATCGAGTTCCTGCCAAGTACGTTCTGCGTATCGTCAACAACACGGACTGAAGACACTCACATCCGTGTGCGTTCTAGGCAGAAATACAAAGTTTATCACAAGACCCCCGACATCGGCTGAAAGGTGACCTTCAGGATCGCGAACACTTTCAGAATTAGTCACAAATCTACTCACGAGATCGAATATTATGATCAATGACTATGAGTCGCCCGGCGTCCGACGTAAGATCATGGCTGGGCCTTCGGCCAGCAATCGGAGTATCAGACATCGTCTGCAGGCGTTCTGCATTGGCTGGGAATTTCTCGTCTTCGAGAAACAAACTCGTACTCGACACTAAGACATATTAGATGAACACCGCACTTACTCTTCCCCTGCGAAGTTTATGAGTAATGCACATCGACTTTGTGCACATGATAAGCACCCTCACCAAGTGCTCGCCGAGATCAATGCTATTGCTATAAGGCGAGGTCAAAGTAGCTTCATCTTCCACGACTTTCGCTAGATCGTGCACGAGTGTGCACAGGTCATGCTGAATCGTGCTCAAATCGAAGTTGCATATCGCGGGAAGCGACTCGACTTGGGACAGCTCCGAGAGTTGCATAGCAGGAGCCGCTGAGACCCAAGGTGTAAAAACGAGCGATATCAAGGCCCTGCGAGCGCGAGAGATCATAGTGGAAGCTCAACCTGTCGCACCTTCCTAAGTGCATTCTTCGATGCTGCATCTTATGGGTGTCAAGAATATTAATAGCTCCAGAGTCCACGAGCCACATACTTACTAGTAGTATCAGAACTTCTCTAAGCGGGTCCGAAGCGGGCGCCGCGAGTCTCCCTTATCTAGTATCGTGGGCGGAACTGTTGGGGGCGTTTTGTTGGCAGATTCAGGAGAGCTACTAGTAGTAGAATCTGGCAGGTCTTGCCCGGATAGCGGTAACCAACACCCAACGTTACGTAATGACACAAAACTTTCACGATTGCCGTTCAAGAAATTCTATTCTTGTTCCGCTTCGAATCAAGCTTGCTCAAGCTTCAAGCACAATAGAATTCACCAATCAAAATATCTTCCGGGATAGCAAGTAGGTCTTTGATTATATACACTACCTTGCATCTTTACAGCTGTGTGCGAAATTAATGACATTTTTGGGCGCGCGTGACAAAAAAGGAAATCTCCCTGTAAACCATTCGAACGACGTTTGACGCCAGCAGATATCGAAAATGACGAACTTTTACCTTGTTCCATCGCCTATACGACATGCTTAACAGAAGAATAAGCAAAGATATGAAAGAATGTGCACTTAGCCTCTGGGATCAGGGTTAGAGCTCAAGGATATCTGTGAGGTGCTCGGTGTTTCTCGGGCCAGCTGGCGAAAGATCTTTGAAGAACTCGGCACTACTCACTGCGGAAACGAGTTTTTTACACCAACCGTAATCCGAGGGAGACAATGTGTATAACACGACTGTAAACGTACCTAGCTCGTAATCAGACGTAAATCCGACATGTCGCAAATTTTGCTCGCTCGGTCTGAAGCAACAGATGTAAACAGACGCTTTTCCAACTTCACCAACACACTTTTTCGGACCTCCGTTTATTCTCTTCAGATACCTGCTATTCCACCACTATCCAGCCCAGTAAATTCAACTTCTCGATGTCTGCTTAGGGTAGACTTGAAGCAAGGTGAGTTTTTCGAAAATTTCGCTAAGTCCGTAACTCGAGCGCTATGTCAAATACTATCAGGCTCGAGTTGCCAGCTCATGTACAAGCTTTTACTTTTACCTTCGAAACGATGCGTCCGGGACCCACAGTGAGTACTAAGTGTATTTCTACGAGGCCACTACCATTAATCATTCTTTTGTAGAACGAGCTCCTTATCGGTGTGCTGTGCGTGTTCGGTCAGTCGTTTGACCTCTGTGACAAGATATGCAACGGTCTCATTCAAATTTGGCGACTGCTCAAGTGCCCCATTTCGCCTATTCACGTTCTGGTTCACGTGCGGAAGGTGAGTGGCAGGCTGTCGACCCATTGAATATAGCATCATAGCTTGATACTCCTCGCTTCCAGGAACAACAGATGGTGCCCGCGAAGATGCCTCACTACCCGAGTCTCCTGCGAAATGACGGTATGGTGTTTCGCCTCGAGAGGATGTACTATTTGAGCTGAAATTCTGTGGCACGCTACCAGCTCGCATGGACCAGACGGGTGTCTGGTGTGCACCGAAAAAAGGATACGGGGATGGCTGACGCATATCGGGTGAGTGCTGCGGACTGGTGGAACGAAGCCTGTTGTTTAAATGATCTTGGTACATAGGTCCCCCAGCGAATGCGCCGCTGGTGTTGTGGTCACCGTGCTGTCCATTGCCTGACTGAATCGCATCCAGTAAGTCGCTTGACTTTTAGTGGGCGATCTACAAGCTCTTACCATCTCAAATTGAGGTACATTACCACTGAAGTATGGATCGTGTTGAGGCGGCTGATACGACACTTTCCCGGCGACCTGGGGTATATTATATTGAGGATATGCTTCTCCTGCCCCTACCAGTGCTGGCTGCTGAGAATCAGGAGCGGGAGCACCACTCGGGCGTCTCTGAGTCTGTTGGCCTTGGAACCCATACATTCTGGCGTGCAAGGTGGTGGGGGATATCAAGGACCGGGGAGCATATGTGGGGACCTAGCAGGACGAGTTCTTTGATACGGCACATGTCTATTCAGAATAGAAGCGGATCCGTTTATGCATAAATCCAGACATAAAGTAGACGTGCGGATCCTTATAACCTGGTCTGATACCGAGTTGGTTTAGATACTAAGGCAACAAACCCTATCCCTGCAAATCCCTAATATTCAGAGTCGGTTTTAGTTCTCAAACGAGTACCTTTTTCGATCTAGACGGGTAGGAATATGCTTGTTTGGCATTGTCCGTTTACATTCCGTTTACAGCCTCTAAACATACATAATTCCGATCCGTTCTAAATCTCGTTTCCGCAGTGACCAGTCACTGCGGAAACGAGATTTAGAACGGATCGGAATTATGTATGTTTAGAGGCTGTAAACGGAATGTAAACGGACAATGCCAAACAAGCATATTCCTACCCGTCTAGATCGAAAAAGGTACTCGTTTGAGAACTAAAACCGACTCTGAATATTAGGGATTTGCAGGGATAGGGTTTGTTGCCTTAGTATCTAAACCAACTCGGTATCAGACCAGGTTATAAGGATCCGCACGTCTACTTTATGTCTGGATTTATGCATAAACGGATCCGCTTCTATTCTGAATAGACATGTGCCGTATCAAAGAACTCGTCCTGCTAGGTCCCCACATATGCTCCCCGGTCCTTGATATCCCCCACCACCTTGCACGCCAGAATGTATGGGTTCCAAGGCCAACAGACTCAGAGACGCCCGAGTGGTGCTCCCGCTCCTGATTCTCAGCAGCCAGCACTGGTAGGGGCAGGAGAAGCATATCCTCAATATAATATACCCCAGGTCGCCGGGAAAGTGTCGTATCAGCCGCCTCAACACGATCCATACTTCAGTGGTAATGTACCTCAATTTGAGATGGTAAGAGCTTGTAGATCGCCCACTAAAAGTCAAGCGACTTACTGGATGCGATTCAGTCAGGCAATGGACAGCACGGTGACCACAACACCAGCGGCGCATTCGCTGGGGGACCTATGTACCAAGATCATTTAAACAACAGGCTTCGTTCCACCAGTCCGCAGCACTCACCCGATATGCGTCAGCCATCCCCGTATCCTTTTTTCGGTGCACACCAGACACCCGTCTGGTCCATGCGAGCTGGTAGCGTGCCACAGAATTTCAGCTCAAATAGTACATCCTCTCGAGGCGAAACACCATACCGTCATTTCGCAGGAGACTCGGGTAGTGAGGCATCTTCGCGGGCACCATCTGTTGTTCCTGGAAGCGAGGAGTATCAAGCTATGATGCTATATTCAATGGGTCGACAGCCTGCCACTCACCTTCCGCACGTGAACCAGAACGTGAATAGGCGAAATGGGGCACTTGAGCAGTCGCCAAATTTGAATGAGACCGTTGCATATCTTGTCACAGAGGTCAAACGACTGACCGAACACGCACAGCACACCGATAAGGAGCTCGTTCTACAAAAGAATGATTAATGGTAGTGGCCTCGTAGAAATACACTTAGTACTCACTGTGGGTCCCGGACGCATCGTTTCGAAGGTAAAAGTAAAAGCTTGTACATGAGCTGGCAACTCGAGCCTGATAGTATTTGACATAGCGCTCGAGTTACGGACTTAGCGAAATTTTCGAAAAACTCACCTTGCTTCAAGTCTACCCTAAGCAGACATCGAGAAGTTGAATTTACTGGGCTGGATAGTGGTGGAATAGCAGGTATCTGAAGAGAATAAACGGAGGTCCGAAAAAGTGTGTTGGTGAAGTTGGAAAAGCGTCTGTTTACATCTGTTGCTTCAGACCGAGCGAGCAAAATTTGCGACATGTCGGATTTACGTCTGATTACGAGCTAGGTACGTTTACAGTCGTGTTATACACATTGTCTCCCTCGGATTACGGTTGGTGTAAAAAACTCGTTTCCGCAGTGAGTTACGACCGTAACTTCGTCACGCGTCCCACCCCACAGCGAATCGAACCTATTTGATGTGACGGTCACACTAAATTTTGGGGAGCGAAGCTATTTTGTGACAAGCGGTAAAACAGGAAAAATCGCCAACAAAATCGCTACAGACTAGTTAGCACTAACTTAGCAGTGCGACCAAAAATCCTTATATAGGGTATTGGCTATGCATCTGCGCTGTCCTCTCCCTCACCTGTGTTCGAGGCCTCAGCGGCCTGAGTATTTCCTGCAACCTCTGACTCACATGGAATGCAGCTGACCATCCTTTTATCCATTCTAAATGTGCCCATAGCGGAGGGCCCAAGGCAACGGTGCGAGGATCTTTTGGTCCATATCACCACCAAAAGGAAGAGAGAAGATTGTTGCACCGAGTCGGGTTGCAAACCCGAGTCAGTCGGGGCGAAGCTAACTTGGATAGGTCACACGTCACAAGGGCCTACGAAGCTGCGAAGCTAAGTGTGACATGGTCACACCCGAAAGGGCGCGAAGCTACGGTCGTAACTCTACAGTATTGACATGCCCCTTCTCCACTCGTCGGCCGCACACGAATAATCACGCGAGCACTCATAACAGCGATCGAAGACCTCTATGCCGAAGATTCAGACCTCTTCCTCGATGAAGCTTGCACGTGGCTTGGCGTCGAACACGACATCATCATCAGCTTATCATCCTTATCGCGCAATCTCAATCAAGCTGGCCTCTCTCGCAAAATGCTTCAGAAGATTGCGTCTGAACGTGATGATGTCCGTCGACAGGCGTTCAAAGATAGTCTTCAGAACGACTTCGTCGGCGATGGCTCGGAGTTTGTCGTCCTCGGTGAAACTAGCAAGAACGAGCGTACTTACGCGTAGCGTTACGGACGAGCACCCTATGGACAACGTGCACAGCTTAGTGATGTATTTGTTTGAGGAGACCGCTATTCGCTATGTGCTGCCATGACGGCAGACGACTATCTTGCAGCATGTGCCGTTGAAGGTTCGTTTGATGCACAAGAGTTCTACGATTTGTGATTCGTCATTAAGCTGTTCGATAGCTGAAACTGCAGTTTTGGGCTGTCTAACCGGGATTTTGATTGTTGGCTCTTTGGGATTGGTTTTCTTTTGATTTACCCTAGAGTTATATCTGTATGACGCATAGAAAATGCAGTATGAAGGGCTAATAGTTCCGAGTAATGTAGCACCACTCACACTTGTCGGAGCGTGCTCACAGGCGTCAATTCCCACATTATGGATGGTGCGAAATTCAGCTCGTTGCTCCATATCGTAGTACCTGATCTCGTTCTGCGGTGATAGAGATACCAGAAGAACATCAGTTTATCAGGAAACCGCGTTCTTCGCGGTGGCGAGGAAAGACAATGTATGCATTCATAAGTACGCCATACCACAGATGGAGAAATACGCTAAGGGTGGTCTGAAGATGGTGGAGTTCCAGGGAGGACACTGGGTTCAGTCGGAGGAACCGGAAACATTAAGAGCTCGAGGGTTGCATTCGCGATACGTTGCAACAAGGTGGTTGAGAGATACTGACCTGCATCTAAGCCGTAGGTCATTTTCTATTAGCGTACGGAGAAGAGTCAAGATTGCAATATTCATGCTGGACGCTAGTTATAGCTAGATACATACACGATAACATATTTCATGTTCTACATAACTAGTAACTCCTAAGGCCTAAAGGCCTAACAGCTTGAGATGCAAATTTATGATGCAGATACACAGCGATAAAAAAAACAAGCCACCCTAGGCCAGTATAAAGCCTACCATCCAAAATAGCCCATCACAACAACGCGCATAACAATAAAAAACATACACCCATAAAACACACACGCGAGACTCACCCCCTATTCAACCTCCAATAAATCCTCCCCAAAATCCTCCATCTTGATAATCCGAAACCTATCCTTCCAAGGCGTACCCTCCCCAAACTCCCTCCTCCACGCACGGCTCAAACCTTCCTCCCATGCATACAGCTCCACGCGCCACCCCTTCTTCAGCGCAGTTCGCACAGGACCAAGGAACCCCTCGTCGCTGAACTGCCCAACGTTCCCGTCACCAGTCGCTAGCACTATCGTTGCACCTGGACGTGGTACGTCCGCGTCCGCGATGGCCTGATGCAGCTTCAGCTGCAACAGCTCGTCTACGCCCTGCTCTCGGTAGCGGACGCGAGCGTTGCGGAGGTTCACACTGCCAGACGCAGTCAAGCCTGTGCCTTTGTCGGAGTCTGATGACCCTCGTGCGTGTCCTTTGCGCCATGACTCTGCGTTGGCGTTCGAACTTGGTGGACGACGGTCTTGACCGGATCCACTGTCTGGCACACGGGCAAAAACGCGGACTTCATATCCAAGTTGTTCTGCTGCATCCATTGGCTGATATAGTGGAGAGGAAGTGACTAGGCAACGCCGTGTGATGGGGCGTCCGCGTTCGAGAAGCAGGGCGAGGGCTGCATGGGAAAGACGTCGTTTCCGACTCGAGTGAGAGGTGTGACGGCGAGCGTAGGTTAAGAATCCAATGAGAATATTCGAGCTGAAATAATACGTCAGCACATATAGATATACAATGACAAAAAGTCTCACTGATCAACAAAAACATGAATCAAAGAATCTCTAGGTCGCGGGGCTGGACCCCTAGGGTCCGAAAAGTCAGAATCGCCGCCGCTAAAGTCCTGCGTGAGCAAGGCAGTGACGCGTTCGTAGTCCTCCGGGAACTTGAGTCGTAACTTATGGGCAAGGCAACGTAGCTTGAGGATTTGAGGGTTTGCGGGTATCTGTGATAGATGCAATGATGGGGTGGAACGACTGTGCCGCAGCTTATTTAATGATGGCTTGTGAGCAGGCGTCGACGGAACGGTGGCAACAGCGTTATCCCCAGAAGACGACAAGCCTTCCGTGTCGGGTTCCGGATCTGGGTGGGAGATAGCAACTACCTCAGTCGTCCCAGATGCGTCCAGTATTGTGCTAGTTCCCGTGGTATGGCTCGTACTCTCCTGCTCCACATTCTCTCGTTCTCGCTGCATGATATGAACCACTTTCGCCTTCTTCCTTCGCCGTTTTCTCGTACGGCGAGGGTCCACCTCATTTCTCCACGCGCCATCGCTCGTGGAGCTATCTTTGCACGCGCCACGGTCACGGGCAGCAAGCCTAGCACGCTCTGCCGCGAGGAAAGAAAACGCGCCACCGAGGTTGCCAAGACTAGGTTGGTCGCCCAATTCAATATCGCCCTCCGAAAAGGAATGATCATGACTCAGATCTGCGTCCGAGTGATGAGAATGCGATCGACTAGGCGTCGTGAACGTGAGCGGTTGAGGTTCACCCTCCGTCTCCTCTCCAGAATCATCAGCGTCATTGTTGTTATTGTTGTCGTCAGGATTCATAAGACGTGGACTTGCGGTCAAGCCGGTCAAGGTAGAACGTGTGTGCGAGGAGTTCGAGGATGCGAGATAGGCCGCTAGCATGCTCTGGTTCCATACCGTAGAGCCTTCGATGACTTCTGAGTCAGTCGGAAGCGAAGAGAGGGGACCGGGGTCGGTAGAGTTGGGAGTATCAAGTTCTGTGTGAATATCATAGGCAGCCCCTCTAGGAACGAATGGCTGAAGGTGGTTGAGGGCCCTAAAGACAGTGGTGAAAGCCCCGAGGTCGGGTGATTCTGACGCCCACAAATCTCATCAGATCGAGCTTCACTAAAATGGAATAGAAGGCTGTTACTCACCATCTGAGGTTGCGTCACTGATAGCAGCTGAATAAGTTGAGAAAGGACTGATCGGAGTTGGCGAATTGGCTGTCGTTTCCGAGCTGGAGTGGATCGTGGACATGAAATATGGTGATTAATGGAAATTGAGACAGCTTGTAGTATATCGTAGTATATCGTCAAGAGACAAACAGAAGAGAAAATGAAAATATAAGGATGATAAAAAGTTTGGAAGGAGCTGTAGTGTGGCTCAAGGAAACGTGCTGGCAGCGTGCATCTCAGGATCAAGTGGCAGTTAAAGTCAAAGTGTCACCCAAATGACTAGTATTGATTTTAGTCTCACGTGATCAGTCGCGAAGGTAGTGGCCAAGGCAAGACGCGACTATTTGGCAAATCTCGTAACAGGTGGTGTTCTAAGTATTGGCATACACCCAGGCTCCTTCCCACCACTCCTTCGAGTGTAGAGGGGCGAGATCTGAGGGTTTGATATGTCACACGATACAAGAAAATTTCAAACCCAGCATAACCTTATTCCCCTCACTCTCAGCAGTGGCTGGAAGATAACATTTGTAAACATCGTCCAGCTTTGTCCATCGCATACTATCTGTTCCCGTACACTCGGCACCCCCAGAAGTCGGCAGTCACACTTTTTCGCAGGGTTTTGTGTGACTGCATGTGACCAATTGAAACAAAAGTGTCACATTTTCCCGCTAAAATGTGTGACCTGCCGACTTCTGGGGGTGCCGAGTGTACGGGAACAGATAGTAAGGTAGGCCTCATCCGGATCCGACACCTCTTAAGTAAGCAAGGTTGAGCTGTTCTACATCATCAAATAGCATCCACAGAAACCAATCTGCACTGAATATAATTCCTGGAACGGTGTCTTATAAAGCTCCTCTTGAAGGCCCAGGAAGAATTTTAAGTTTTGGATCAGAATTCATGGAGAAATAAGTCAAAAACATCAAAAGTGTAAAATAACTTGGAATATCATTTCCATGTGCTGGAACAGCGAGAAATTTTCTTGAGAAATCCTCCTCGAAGTATTTGGCCGCTTATATAATTGAACACGTGACATGCTGAGGTGAGGATGGATGGGCCTCAGAAATACCTCAAAAACCCCTGCTACTGGTATTAAAATGGGGAACAAGTCCAAAGCTGTCCGGGCACATCTTGCAAATCTCTCCAGAGCTGGAAAAAAATCCCTGAAGGCAACTGTTGAAGATATTTCTAACTCCGAGGATGCAGATTACACTCCTCCAAATCTTGATGACCATAATGACACGGAAACCAAGGGCTCGGAAGTGAGTGAAGATGAAGAAGCTGATATCAAGGATGATGCAGCATTGCTCACCTTCATCAATGTATTATCAATGGCTCAGGAGGCAGCCACAGAAGCAGAGAGAGCAAAAGCAAAGGGAAGCAAACAGCCAAAGACTTACACTGGCAACTCTGTATGCAGCCACTGACGATTTTCTGCGAAACGGAAGAAAATTGCAAATGAGGGCTATCAAGCATTTATTAGCAACTGGCTTGTTGCACAGAAGACAAACCTCCGAGTCAGTCAGACTGTGTCAGTGGTTGCAACAGCTTCTGTTGAGTCTGTGTCTGTAATGGTGAGTAAATAAAATTGAATCAGGGTGACAAACCTCAAAATCTTATAGGGCTCTGTAAAGAGTGCAATAAATCTGCAAGAAGAGGAAGAGGAATCAGACTCGAGTGAACCCAGCAAGTCAGAGGGGGAATTCCTACCAAAAGCAATCACTGCCAAGCAGCAAAACCAAATTGAGGAGATGCTACGAGATCTCCGGAATGGACAGCGCCCCCGTGATGATGGTCAAGAGACACTCACGGACATTACACTCACACACTGAGTTACAAGGACTTTCCCACACTGCGACGTGTGTGGGCAAAACTGACTGTCCAAGCAAAAGATAAACAGCTTGATGTGATTTTCCGGGCCTGTATTTCTGCCATGATGGGTGCCCTCAACCTGTATCTTGATCCTGAACTGTCATATTCATGGCGTGAGGCTTCATTACTGGTCTCAAAATCTCACGGCAAGGGATTGAGCCATGCCCGCAATATACACACTTAGATTCATAATTTTCTCCGCCATCAAATACTCCCTCTTCATCACTATGGCCACTATTCGAACTCCATCCTTGAGGATGAAGATTTTGCTCAAGGCATTCAACTTCATCTTATGGAAGTTGCAAAGCATGGCTACATATGCACACAAGATATTGTCGACTATATTGTGAGACCAGAAGTCCAAGGAAGGCTTGGTTCAAAGAAGACCAGGGATCTCACTGGCCACTGCACAAAGATGGATGCACAAGTTGGATTGGCGATATGGGAAGAAACAGAATGGGATGTATATTGACGGTCATGAGCGGGAGGATGTAGTGAAGTACCACGAGGAATTTTTGCAGCGCTGGAAAGAATATGAGAAGCACATGGTAACATACGATAATGATGGCAATGTCCTTCCAAGTCCATCTGGATTCCCTGTTGCTCAAGGGTCCTGTTTCCGCCTTGTTCTTGTGACACATGATGAATCAACATTCTATGCCAATGATTGATGAAAAAACCGCTGGTAATCATTCTAGTGATAAGGCAACACCAGAGCAGAAGGGAGAGGGGCCATCCTTGATGATTTCGGATATGGTGACACTCGACTGGGGAAGGTTGAAGGATGATGAGGAGTATGTCATTCATTTGAAATCCTGTTCAACTTTTAGTACTGATAAGCCTGTGACCTATTACCGACAGGGAGGCTTGCATTATCTTCAAAGCTGGCAAAAATCAAGATGGCTATTTTTCGGCTGAAGACTTGCTTGTCCAGGTTGAATGGGCAATAGATATATTTGAACGCAAAACCAATGGTTTTGCTACAGGTTTATTTATGTTTGATAATGCACCTAGTCATCAAAAGTGTGCGCCTGATGTGGTGTCTGCATGAAAAATGCCAAAATGATCAAAGGCAGGCTGGACACATACAAAGGATGGGCCAAAAATGCACAGTGGCTCATTTGGAGATCTCCCGCAGGACTTCTACTTCCCTCTGGAGCACCCAACAATGCCAGGATAGGTTCAAAGGAATGGAGGTTATTATTCGCGAGCAGGGGCTCTGGCCTGAGGCTGGATGCAATGCCGAGTGTCCAGGATTTAAGTGTGTGCCAGGACACACAGACTGCTGTTGCCTGGCTGCATTCTGTTCTGCCAGCCAGACTTTGTTTCTCACAAGTCCCAGCTTGAAGAGTACATCACTTCTCGAGGTCATATCTGTGACTTCTATCCGAAATTTCACTGTGAGTTGAATTTTATAAGGAAAATACTGGGGTGCCAGTTAAATTCCGGTATCGCTCGAGTCAACGGACCTGTGATATAGAGCAGATGGAGCGCAATGTCATTGCATGTCTCGATGATGTTCCCCTTCTCCAGATCAAACGGTAAGTCATTCAACTCACAAGCTCTTTGACACTGACATTTTACTATGTACTATAGTTATGCCAATTGATCAGCCCGTTTCATATCAGCATATTCACAAGGCCTTACCGATGCACAGGCTGCATGGGTGAATCGGAAGTACCATGGACATTGTACCTTGCCTCCTGACATTGTTGAAGAGCTCAAAAAAACATTAGGATCGGTCTAGGCATAGATACATGATATGTATGGATTATAAAACCCTTTTGAGCAATACCTAAGGTCTCTGGTCTCCGAAATGGCAGTCCTCAGAGTTGTGAAAAATTTTCACCAGAGATTTGGCTGCAAGTTAGGGTTAGGGTTAGGGTTTACATAAGGTGCTGGAATTGATGAGGCCTACCTTAACAGAGAGGTCACTCCAACAGTGGTTGGGCTGGGGCCGAGCTTTAGCTCGGTCAGACACTGATGAGATTGCTGCTTACCTAAGTGCTGATGAAACCAACTGTGGCGGATCACACAGCCAACCCAACCATTGGTGAGACAGTGCAATGATGGGAGAACACTGAGGTGCTGTGAGGCGATTTGTTTGAAGGTGTCATATCCTGTACCTCCGGATCCGGAACTCTGGAACCCCTCCACTAAAGTCTGGTTCTCCATCCTGTTATTTCGCCCAGCGCTCTGCTCTCATCTCTGGACTCACCCCTATCTCCTTTTAGAATAGCTATTGCTCCGGCTACCAGTTATGCCCTTTTCTGCTATGCTTACCGATCCATCCATTCTTACTTCATTTCCAACTTCACTGCTTTGATCCATTATACACTTACTAATAGACTTTCCACATGCTTCGTACATAGCCCTTACCTTTGCTGACTGATTTACTTACATGATACCTACAGTATATAAACTCCTGTAAATACTCCAGAACTCCTCAGTTCGAATATCATCTTAGTTCTGCTCATTTCTGCATCTCCGGACTTGAGTCTCATCTCTTGTCTACCTCCGAGTCTTAGGGTTAAACCTTAGGACTGAATCCCTGACTCTACCTTAGGGTAGTCTAAACTCTATTCTGTTTCTACTCTGGACTTGTCTGTGGTAGCCTTACTCTGTTCCCTCATAGTCTTCCAGAGTTCCGCCAAACTCCCCTGATGTCTGACCTCCAGACTTCCCCGGACTTTCCCTCTGCCCCTCGGAAATTAAGGGCACATACTCGGGTAAGGGGCACAGCGCACGAGCTGAAGCCAAAGCCCTTTGAGTAACCTCCCCCTTGAGCATGACCTTAACAGTATATTTGAACTCACACCTTACCGAGTATACTAATGTCCGAGAATCACTTCTCCACCAGGTTTAAACTCCTGTCCCTCATAAACTATGATTTTTCCTCCGACCCTTCCATTATCGTTTAGAATTCCTCATCCTTACCTCACGAAATCTCTGTTCTGATAAAACTCCATATTCCTTTGTCCAATCCTTCTGGCCTGATTTCCTGATCATAGCTATCCTACTCCAGAATGCTACATAATTATCTCCGATTTCCACTATATCTGATTTCTCCACTGCTCCAGACTGGCAAGTCACCTCCAGAATGTCTCGACATTCAACTCCCTTGGATTCTCCTAGTACCACTCAGGAATATCGCTTGCTCTCCCACCATGATCCATTGATCAATAGGGTATAGAGCAGACACCTTTTCCGGGTTTTACCACTGGAAATGCCATTGGCCTCCGACGTCCAACAAAGTCCACTTTGCTGTGGAACCCCTGTCTCTGGACTAGCCATGTTCTTCTCCACCGGTTTATGTGTGGATCACACTAAATAAACTATTCCATATACATGAGCAAGCCTCTCGTATGTGCGCACGGTTTATCACCCATCCTCTTCCAACTCCCAAGTTAAGTTACCCCACATCATCTATGTACATATACTCCTCTGCTCTGATTACTCCTCCTCCAATTTCCACCCTGCTTCTCCTCCACCTCTACTCCTATTCCTCCTCTGCTCCGCTGCCTCCTGGAAAATCTTCCATCAGGAGGGAACTCCATCTTGCTCCTCCATTTACTCCGGATCGTCCTCTGTTACTATGGACAGATTCTGGGACGTCTCCTATGGACAAAGATTTACAATATCTCCATATCCTCCATAACAAATTTGCTAGAAGGGACTTTGTGTAACACCTGGAGGAACATCCCAAGAAAATCAGTAATGACGTATCATGTTCTGAACACCAAGAACATACCAAAGTCGTCTGAAGAGACCCTCCTCCCCATTTCCAACATCTCCATGTCGTTCCCATCGTTACTGAGAAAGAACCACCATGACAAGAATTTCGTTAGGAGGAATTCGTATGGTATCCTCATGAACAAATATGTGACGAGGCCAAAGAAGAAGCCAGGCCATGCAGAAGAAAGGGTGTCTAAGAAATCCATCAGAAGGAATGGAAAGTCGTGAAGTTTTACGAAACAAGTTCATTACTTTTGGCTAAAGTCCAACTATTCCATCACGTGATTTAGCACCCCACACTCCGATATCCGATTAACCCATTACTCCGTCCTACCAAAGAACTCCGGAATGGAGTTCCGAACCCTGCATCCATGGGCACAACCCAGACTTCTGTTCAAACCTCCGCCATTACCTCCACGTACTAATCTCCGATCGGCGGACAAACAGTTTCAGAGTTTATATGGATATGTACATGGATAAGATGGAAAATAGCTAAAAAGCTCAGGCTTCCATCTCCGCCTCTTCCTCCAGCTCAGGTTCCGGCTCTGGCTGAGACTCTGACTCCTCCTCATCTGTGCCTTTCTCCGCTTCACTTTCTGTCTCTTCCTCCGGCTTCTCTGTGTCGCTACTGGAAGAGCTGGTGAGCTCTAGTACCTCCACTGCCCCCACCCCAACCTCCACCTTCTTCCCAAGGGCCTCCTTGAGGTTCCTTCCCCAGCCCGAGAAGCCCTTCTCCAGCATGACCCCGGTCACGTGAAGAATCTCCCAGACTTCCACCCAGGCCCCGTCCCTCTCTTCTTTCTGCTCCGCCCACTGCAGCTCCATCTGCTCCGCTAGACGCGTAATGGCCGTCGCCAAGGCCCCCAGCTGCATGTTCATCTCTGCCTGCACCAAGACCATATGGTTGGTCGCCTTGACCCACTCTTGGTCATCTACCTCCATAATCAACTCCTCCTCTCCGTACACCCTCCTCTGCCGTGAAGGCCTGCCCGCGCCCTCATCCACTGCTTCCCTGGACTCCGTCGCCCTCTCCCTTGTCCATTTCCGGCTCCTTGCCAGAGCGGCCAGTTGCATCTCCTCTCCACTGACCTTACAGGAGGCCTTCAGGCCCGCGCATTGGTCGCAGGCCTTAGCCTTGGCCCTGCCTTCGCTCTGTTCCGGTCAACCACCGGCGCAACGGAAATAACAAAGGAACTTACTTTGGATTTTGCCAGGGCCTCCTGCACCAGTGCCCACGTACATGTCCGGCCAGTGGCCTCACACCGCTGGCACACGACTGCTAGAGGAGCGACCTCCGAGACTTCCAATGTCTGTGCCTACCAACAAACCATAGAAATCAGTATCACCCAGTGCCAGAAGAAAGAAAAACTTACCTCCCCTGCCTTGCGCGCTTCCTCCGCTAACTTTGCTCTCTCCGCCGCCACAGCAACTCTTGCCTCTTCCACCTTCTTGGCCCGCTCAGCTGCCTCGGCGGCCTTTTCCTCCTCCGCTATCCTCACTGCAGCCATCAGCTCCTGCCATTTCGCAGTAGTCATACCGGCAAAGTCGAAGTGTTGAGGGGCGGACATTGTTAAAATATGAAAAGATACTAGAAAAGAAAAAAGTTTCTGTAGAAAAAACCCCGCCTTCCCTGCACTCTTATAGTAGCAACCTGTCACCATGGAAACTCCACTCTGTGCCCATCAATCCACTCCAGTCCGAACTTCATTGTCTCCATCTGCCTCACAGCACAACTTCTCTGCCTCGCGCTGTGGACTTCATTCCACATGCCTTGGTTCCACTGGCAACATCTGTCTCCCATTTTCCCCGAAATCCGAGAATTTGTCTAGGACCTCAGGGGTTCGGTCCTAATGGGGGGATATTGTCACACCGTGCACGACCAATCAACCTCAAAACCCCAACCTCCGGACCTCCATATCTCCAAACACCTCCAACTACCGAACAAAATCAAAAACAAGTTACATTGTACAAAGATGAGCATATATGTACAACCGGACACGAAGGATTACAGGACTATCTAGAGGTCATCAGTCTCCATATCTCCGCCGGAGATCCCAGCACTGCTCCCACCCTCCACCTCCTCCTCCCTTTCCTCTGGTTCCTCCGCCGCCTCCGCGCGAAAGCCATTCCTCATCCCTTCCAGGAATAAGGCTTGGAAAGCCCTCTGCTCCTCCACAAACCTATCCATGGCCGCTCGGCTCCCCTCTGCTGCTGTGATACTTCACTCCAGAAGTCCATTGGTCTGGGCCAACACTGCCACTATGTTGTTGGCAGCAGCCACCCAGGCCTGGTCATTGTACTCTGTCCATCCGCCCTCCTCCTGTTATGATCAGCGTTCACCGAATGGTAAAGGCTTAACACAACCACTAGGACTCGTCAAGGATAAAGCAAAGAGATGTTATTGAGAGTGAACGTCTGAGTCTACACTGGGTAGGAACGAAGAGGTTAAGTCTAAAGAGAAACTTTACTAACTACCCTTCCTATATACATAACATTGAGTCGGAGTTATCTGAGTCTGTAAATAATCAGCCAATGAGAAAGAATCGTACGATACTGCGTATGACGTAGTATGACGTCGTAATATATAAGCAATGATGTCAGAGACGGAGATTAAGTGATAGGAAGACATATGGTTCTAGCCCTGGGCGTAGGGGATTCGATTGGAGATGTGACTGGTGAAATGTGAAACTGTGGCATGATGATGGTGTGATAATGTGAAAGGTAGTGGTGTCACGTGACCGGTTCGGGTATGGGACATAGCCAAAGGAAAATTGAGGAATGAAAAATGATTCGTGTTAGGAATTCGTGACACCTCCACGATCACAGTCTGGGGATTGGAGATCAACTCCACATTGTCCTCCATCCCCGCCGGGCTCCACTGACACTTCTTTCCCTTTGCCGAGGAGATGGGGTACCTTCCACGCACTCCCGTTTCTTCCCCTTGTCGACACTAACTGGCGGAACACCGCCATAGCACTGCGCCTTCAGCTGGCGGCACACGTCGCAATTCCAGATCTACTGGACCATCTATTAGAATACCCTGGAGAAAGAACCAAAGCATGCTTACCCTGTTGGACCTAGACGCCTGAGTCCAAGTACAGTCCCTCCACCACTCTATGCAGGAGCTACAGGATTTCTCCGGACCCTTGGAGGTACTAGATTGATGAGTAACCTAATGCCAAAATAAGTACCGACGACAACCGACGAACTATTGAACTTACCGTCGACATCCCTGCACACCCCAATGACGCTGACTCCAGTACTCTCCTCCACGTCTCTGCAATGTCCCTCTGTTTCTGCTCCTCCTCGCGTTTCCACTCTGCTGCCGCCCTCCGTTTCTCCTCTGCCTTGATCTTTTTCTCCTCCTCCCTCCATTTGCGCTCCTCTTCTTCCTCCAGGCGAACAGCCTCCTGTAAGCGAGCGACCTCTGCTGCCATTTCCGCCTGCCTTTCTTCCATGGCCTGCTTGGTGGACTTCTTGACGCCTTCAGGTTTGTTGGGCATGATGAGCTGTATAGAGAGAAGGGCGACAGAAAAAACATTGTTTCCTGTTTCAAAAACCTCCGGCACATTTTTTACCATCTCTGCAGAAACTCCAATGCCTCATGCTCCTAACCGACAATCCAGACCCTTGGCCTCATGGGCTTGGCCCTAAGGGGGGGATACTGTCATATCCCGTACCTCTGGATCTGGAACTCTGGAACCCCTCCACTAAAGTCTGGTTCTCCATCCTGTTATTTCGCCTGGCACTCTGCTCTCATCTCCAGACTCACCCCTATCTCCTTTTAGAATAGCTATTGCTCTGGCTACCAGTTATGTCCTTTTCTGCTATGCTTACTGATCCGTCCATTCTTACTTCATTTCCAACTTCACTGCTTTGATCCGTTATACACTTACTAATAGACTTTCCACATGCTTCGTACATAGCCCTTACCTTTGCTGACTGATTTACTTACATGATACCTACAGTATATAAACTCCTGTAATATTCCGGAACTCCTCAGTTCGAATATCATCTTAGTTCTGCTCATTCCTGCATCTCCAGACTTGAGTCTCATCTCTTGTCTACCTCCGAGTCTTAGGGTTAAACCTTAGGACTGAATCTCCGGCTCTACCTTAGGGTAGTCTAACCTCTGTTCTGTTTCTACTCCAGACTTGTCCATAGTAGCCTTACTCCATTCCCTCATAGTCTTCCGGAGTTCTGCCAAACTCCCCCAACGTCTGACCTCCAGACTTCCCTGGACTTCCATTGGACTTCCCCTCTGCCCCTTGGAAATTAAGGACACGTACTCAGGTAAGGGGTGCAGCGCATGAGCTGAAGCCGAAGCCCTTTGAGTAACCTCCCCCTTAAGCACGACCTTAACACTCACTCGCCTTGCTCACAAGGACACTCAAGGAGGCTTTCACCACAGCTCTGGTGTTGACACATTGGATGCCAGATGTTCCCATTGTTGTAGAAACAGATGCCTCTGACTATGCTATTGCCAGAATTTTATCCATTATCTGTCTGGACTCGGAACTTCATCCGGTGGCATTCTACTCCAGAACACTTACAGCTCTGGAACTCAACTACAATACCCATGACAAGGAACTCCTGGCCATCTATGAAGCTTTCCGGACCTGGCGACACTACCTAGAAGGCTCCTCCCAACCTATTGACGTAGTCACGGACCACAAAAACTTGAGTACTTTGCCACTACCAAACTCCTCTCGTGCCATCAGGCATGATGGTTGGAATTCCTCCATCATTTCAACCTTATCATCCGCTTCTGTCCCAGAAAACTTGGAGCTAAACTGGACTCCCTCACTAGATGCTGGGACGTCTATCCCAAAGAGGGGGATAAGGACTACACTTGAGTTAACCCTCATAACCTCCGACCGGTATTCACCATGGAACAGCTCGCTTCATCCCTATGAGCATCAACTCTAGCTACTCTGGTACTATGAGCAGCTGTGGTCATGGATATTGAAAGCCTCCAAAAAGATATTTTGACCACCCTCCCTACTGACCCCATCACCTCCAATCATCTGCTGGAACCTTCAGATCCAAGATGGACAGTAGATGACAATGGACTCCTCCACTGTGACAACTGTATATATGTCCCGCAAACCAATGACCTCCACCTCCGCATCCTCCGAAATACTCATGACCATCCTCTATCTGGCCACTTCAGTCAAAACCAGACATTGGAACTCATCCAGCGCAAATACACCTGGCCCAGAATATGCACCTATGTCAAGGACTATGTTAAGTCCTGCACTACTTGCACCCGAGCCAAAGTCCCAACACACAAGCCCTACAGATTGCCCAAACAACTCCCTATTCCTGGAAAGCCATGGAATTCCATCTCCATGGACTTCATATAACAACTCTCAGTCTCCTCTGGCTTCACAGCAATCCTCATCATCATAGATTGTCTGTCCAAGCAGGCAATATTCGTCCTGACACATGACACCATCACCTCTCTAGACCTCACCCAACTTTTCCTGCTCCACGTCTTCTCTAAACATGGAGTTCCATCCCACATCACCTCCAACTGAGGCATGGAATTGGTATCCCACTTCTTCTGATTTCTCAGAAAAGCATTAGACATGATACTCCACTTCACCTCTGGATACCATCTGGAGGGTGATGGCCAGACTGAGGATGCCAACCAAACCTAGAGCAGTATCTCCAGATCTACTGCAATTATCAACAGGATAACTGGTCTGAACTCCTTCCTTTAGCAGAGTTCACATACAACAATGATCCAAGCGCTACCACTGGAGTATCACCGTTTTTTGCCAATAAGGGATACCATCCCAACATTTCCATACACCCAGAACGAGACCTCTCCTCTGCCCACACGCGGGATTTTGCCATAGACCTAGATGAGCTTCACCAATTCCTCTGGGAAGAAATGTCCCACACCCAAGAACATTACCAGGGCCCTGCTGATGCCAGACAAAGGTCCGCTCCAGACTTCAAGGTTGGGGACCAAGTATTCATTAAAGCAAAATATTTCTGTTCCACCCGGCCTTCCAAGAAATTATCAGAAAAGAACCTAGGCCCTTTTGACATCATTTCCCATCCCAGTACCCATTCCTTCACCATCCACCTCCCGAACTCCATGTGTTCCATACACCCTGTATTCCACGTCTCACAGTTGGAGCCCGCCACTCCGAACACCATCCCTAATTGTATCCAGCCACCCCCACCTGCAGTTGAAGTTGATGGAGAACCAGAGTATGAGATCTCCGAAATCCTGGACTTCAAACTCGACCGCCGAAGGCGACATTGCCAACTCCTGTACCTGGTACATTGGACTGGTTATGAAGGCACAGACAAAGAAACTTCCTGGCTTCTCACCACAGAACTCGGAAATGCGTCGGAACTCGTCTCAGGCTTCCACTCTGCTTATCCGAGTAAATCCGGTCCTCTCGCCGAGTTATGAGTCATTTAAGCCTCAAGGGCTCGGCCCTAAAAGGGGGATACTGTCATATCCCATACCTCCGGACCTGGAACTCCGGATCCTTCCCTGTGAAAGTTTGGTTCTCCATCCTATTCTCCATCCAGCGCTCCGCTTTCATCTCTGGACTCACTCCTATCTCCTTTTAGAATAACTGTTCTCTGGCTACCGGTTGTATACCTTTCCACTTTGCTTACTGATCCGTCTGTTTGTACTTCATTTCCAACTTCATTGCTTTGATCTGTTATACACTTACTAATAGACTTTCCATATGCTTTGGGCATAGCTTTTACTTTGCTGACTGATTACTTACATGATACCTACAGTATATAAACTCCTGTAAAGCTCTGGTACTCCTTAGTTCGAATATCATCTTAGTTCTGCTCATTCCTGCTTCTCCAGACTTGAGTCTGATCTCCTGTCCACCTCCGAGTCTTAGGGTTAATCCTTAAGACTATATCTCTGGCTCTACCTTAGGGTAGTCTATCTTTGTTCTGTTTCTACTCTGGACTTGTCCAAAGTAGTCTTACTCTATTTGCTCCTAAGCCTTCCGGAGTTCCACCGAACTCCCCCTGTGTCTACCCCCAGACTTACCCAGACTTCTGTCAGACTTCCCCTCTGCCTCTTGGAAATTAAGGGCACGTACTCGGGTAAGGGGCACAGCGCATGAGCTGAAGCCAAGCCCTTTGAGTCACCTTTCCCTTGAGCATGACCTTAACAGTCTTCCCCACCTCTTAGCATCACGTTGAGCAGTGATCCTTCACAGTTGCTGCAGTCGGACAATACACATACCCACCTCTAAACTGGCCGTTCTCCTGATGCCATCATTAGCATGTTGACCTAGAAAAATGAGCTGCACAATATCCAGAATGCACTTATGCTGAGGTACACACAGGAAATTGATGATGATTCACCATTGTCACTGTGGACACTGCCAGCATATCAGTGTCTTTGTTTGATGAAGATTGGGTGCAATGCACCAGCAATATGTGAGCTTGCTGGCTGGGCTGCTCTTGTGTAGTTTCATAGGACCACCATTGATCTCCACTGTGGGGCATTGTACACATGCATTGGCGCCAGCAAGGAAGCTGAGCAGAATAAATATGATGGAGTGGGAAGTAAAAATGACGGAATTTGTGGAAGGGAATGAGGCATAGCCATAGTAGTATGTAGGTGCTATAGCATCAGGAAAAGTGCACTCTACTTAATCAGCTTAATCAACTTTGCTCAAAACTGTTTGCACTCTCATGCATCATTCACTTGGCATATCTCATTTTTTTTGGTGTGAACTATAATAAAACATGCATGTTAATATATCTCAACAATTTTTTTCTGAATATGTTAAAGTTTGAATTTTTGCAAAGTAGATCCCTTTTTGCAAAGTTGCTAAAGTGCAAGTTAAGTCTGTTTAAGGTAAGCTTAAGTAACATGCACTTTCCCTGATGCCTATAGGCTGAAACTTCCTGTGTGAATGTAAAGCCATTGCTCGGATGCCCTATTTTAGGCAAGAACGGTTGAGCCAGAATGCATGATAATCTCTGCAGACTCTGTACAGCACAATGGGGCCGTGGGGCACAGATGGGTCTCCAGTTCCTGGGCGGCCTCGACTTCACATTGGTCCGTCAGATATGTGCACATTCATTGAATGTCAAGACTTCCCAAACAACACTCTCTGTAACATGACCATCATTGAATTGATGAGGCTCAACATGGCCGCCCAGTAGACTCCTGCACCACATTTTAGTTTTGGTCTTCCGCAAATGGTTCATGGTCAACAAGATGGAACTTCCTAGGGTATGGTTGAAAGGTCAGTGTTTATAAACGGGTGTTGAATTATTGACCGTCTATAACAGTGCTAGAAAGTCGCTCTGTAATTTTGCCAGTTGGAAATTATGAAGAATTGTAGTCATGCGTCTCCGTCATCCTGACAGCTTTATGTCTGCAAAACAGAGGCCTGACTACCATCATGGAAGGCACAAACAGGGTCATACATAAGGCTGACGTCAGACCTCCATGGTAGGTATAGTTTCACCCACAAGGAACACGTAAATTTCG